ACCAAGTCTCTGTGATACAAATGACATCCGGCTGAGTATCTGATATCCACACTTACAGCTCATCTAGCTTCTGAAACAAACTCTGAGCATTTGTAGGAAGAAAGCCGAGCTTAACCCGGGCAGATTCCCGAACGATTTTTAGGTCAAAGTTGCTGGATATTTCGTGCGAGTTTTCGAGTTCATTGTCCCCTTCCGAGTCTACTGCTGTTTGATAGAACTGGATGTCAGTGTGTTGGCCGTCGTTTTCTCTGATGGGTTTGTCAGATAGGAGCGTTCTCTCCTTAATATCTGGTTGTTCATTACGGTAAGTGTTATTGGTTGTCTCCAGAGAAATGAGTTCCGAACATTTACGAATTTCCCATTCAATATTCTTAGGTTTTTCTCGCCAGAATTGTATCTTCTGTGGAGTTCGACCTTGGGTTCCCTCCATTTCTCCCGTTCGGCCGGTGAGAAATCCCGCTGAAAGAAAGTTGTTGGGTGAGCATCTCGCAGTGCTGGTTTCCTGTTCAGCAGTAATATAGCTTGTTCCTTACTTTCGAGAATAATTTTTAATGGTCTATGATGGCCCGACTCGTCCTTCAAAACCTTAACTGGTCCTATTCTGAAAGCTTTCAAGACGGCGAGAGAGACATTTGCTTGCCTTCTGTGTGGACTCTGCTGTCTCCTGCTGACGCTCTGACCTACTTGGTCTTTTCGGAATGCTTTGAGACGTCTCCTGATTTTTTGAGATGCGTTTCGGTTACTTTCTCTCGTACATGAGACAGGTTCTCGATTGTGATTGGGTCCGTAGACGGGCTGTTTCCTTTTTCAGGTGCTAATACAGTTACTGAAATCGTACTGGCAATCTTTCAGGTCATCTCCTGAATTTCCGACATCGAACTCCTCAGAAGATACAATTCTGGCGAGAAAAACCTAAGAATATTGAATGGGAAATTCGTAAATGTTCGGAACTCATTTCTCTGGAGACAACCAATAACACTTACCGTAATGGACAACCAGATATTAAGGAGAGAACGCTCCTATCTGACAAACCCATCAGAGAAAACGACGGCCAACACACTGACATCCAGTTCTATCAAACAGCAGTAGACTCGGAAGGGGACAATGAACTCGAAAACTCGCACGAAATATCC